GTGTTAGAAGGAGGAGAAAAAGCTGCATCGAATAGTGACTGAAGTGTTTAACATTTTATGTTCTACGAGGTTAAAATAGGCTGAATGTAAAATCCGGCCATTCAAAAAATAAATCGTAGAAACTTTGAAAGACAAGCCGTGGGATTACAAAAAATTGCCTCTGTTGGCAAAAGGTTTGTCCTATCTGAAAGTTATTAGGGCTCCTCCGAAAGTCTTATACAAATATTTTGTAAATTAGCGAAAGATGGACAGGGTAAAAACGAGTGGTTGTAATTTCCAGCAAATATCTCATCGCTCTCGCAACTAAACACAATGTGAGTTTAGCTGCTGGAAAGAGGAAGAAATTCTCATTGGATACATTTTAAACCGTTCGCTTATCTTCCTTCTAGCGTGTTTGCCGATGGATTGAACAAACTGACAAAACTTTCGAACCCACCTAATATATTAGGTTGGTCCGAAAGTTCTGTCCCACCATTTTCAAAAATTCATAACTTCCTCCCAACATGATATTTCTGCATGGCTAAAACCGTTTTGGGAAGAGCAATTCATGCATCTTCTAAAACTACCTTAACTGCTATCTATTAAGCTCGCAGTGCAGAGATAAAATTGTAAAAAGGAAATCACTTCAATTTCGGAATTTTTAAGCAAACCCGTTAAAAAATCTAAATCCGTGCAAGACAGCCAGTAACCTAGGTTTTCTGATCCCCTCTTTCTATATGAGCAAAATTCGCGCTGTTTAAGCTCTTCTTAGAAAAGTTCTGATTCTCAAGAAAAAAGGCCAAAAAATCAGTTTCTTAAGAAAATTAATTTTCTGACATTTTCTTCAAAAAATCATAATTTTCAAAATAATAGCTCGATCAGCACAACTTTTGCTCATCTAGAAAGAGGGGCTCAAAAAGTCTAGGATAATGGCTGTCTTGGATTTTATGGCACAGTTTTAGATTTTTTAACGGGCCTGATTAAAAATTCCGAACTTGAAGTGATTTCCTTTTCCCAATTTTATCTCTGCATTCAGAGCTCAGTAGATAGCAGCCAAGGTAGTTTTAGAAAGGGTATGAATTGCTCTTTCCAAAAAAGTTTTAGCCATGCAGAATATCTTGTTTAGAGGGAGTTATGATTGAAAATGGTGGGACGGAACTTTCGGACCAACCTAATACAATACCGCTCATAATTCGTCAAAAAAGTCGCCGGACTGCGGCGGACTCCGCCGGAGTGCGGCAGAGTGCGCCACACTCCACTAGAGTCCGCCGGAGTGCGGCAGAGTGCACACTTCACTAGAGCCTGCCGGAGTCCGCGTCGTATCGCCGCATCTCGCTTCAGAATGGACGATTTCTGAATCCGAGGACACCATTCGATTCAGCTCGGCGAGACGCATCATCTAGTATGTGGGAGTGCCACAATCTAGCAGGATATGATAGGCTGATGACACATAGAAAGTATACCGGAGGAGTATGGTAGAGAGTCACACTGATCGAATTTGTTTTAAAATCTGCTCAAAATTACAATACTGCTCAAAGAATGTGCAAAATTTCAGTGAACTTCGCGGAAATCCGGGATTTAAGCTCAAGTCCGCGACATGTTTCCAAATATCAGGTCGATGCGAGAATTCTTATGTAAATCAGATAAAGTTTGACAACTCTTTAAATCATCAACTAAAACTAAGTTCATGATTTGTATTCAAAGATAAAAAAGATTTGCTTTTCAATATTGTTGTGATTGTTACTGACCAGTTGTTCCTCATAGTGATCTGCCTCGCGTAGTCGATCGCAACCTCAGAGTGCGCGGAAATTGAGCGCTATAAATGGCGCTCACTCATAGCCTTAGTTAGTTCTATCGTTCTACAGTTCCATGATTCATTTGTTCACTCATCGCCTCTCTTATTTTTCCTGCTCTATTATTTTCTAATAAATTATTCCTTCCTGCTCCTGTGCCGTCCAGTCGAAGAGTGTCCAAAGTGAAGGACGCAACAGTGGCGATCAGAGGAGGCAGCGGCTACTAGCGTGGAAGTAGCCGTAACGAATAAGCACGCCAGGAACCACGTCGAAGATCTCCGTCGCCGAAATCTCGAAAGCTGGAGTGGTCACAAAAGGCAAAAATAAGCACAGAGGAATTAATGATCATGTTCAAGGAACTGATCAGAAAAGACTAGAAGAGCCTCAGGGAAGTGATGAGAGAAGAGAGGCAAGAAATGATAAAGACGTTTCTAAAGCACGTCGCAGGTACTGGGCAGCCCAGTACATCGTCGGGAGCATGGAACATGATGTCCGCGCTGGGCAACCGGATCGAAAAATTTTACTTCGATTTAGAAGCGGGCAAATGCTCCAGCAGATGGTATGCGCGCTACAAGGAAGTCTTCGTCGAAGATGCGAAGCAGCTGCCAGAGAGTGCCAGGGTGAGGCTTCTCTGCGAACAGCTCGACAAGGAATGTTTCGAAAAATATCAGAGGCATGTGCTACCGAAAGAGGTGACAGCGATTAAGTTTGAAGAAACCGTCGAAACATCAAAGCAACTATTCGACGTGAAGATCCGAATTTACAGTGCGGTACCAGTGTTTAAAGCTGGAGAGGGAGGATTCCGAAAATTACCTCATGTACACCGGCCGAGTGAACGAATTGTGCGAAGAAGATCCATGAGCTGGACAGTGATGGAATCAAGTGCCTGCTGTGGATATTTGGCTTGAAGAGCCAGAAAGGAGCCGAAATCAGACAGCGACTCATTGCCGTACTGGACAAGGAGTACAAGGCTGGACGAAAGATGTCGCTACAGGAGTTGTACCTGGAGCGCGAGAACTTTCTCAGTCTCAAGAAGGATAGCGAGACTGGGCATCGCGCGCGAAGGGTTCAAAAGGGCCTACACCCGCCTCAACAGACGAACACTGGAGTTCGCGCGCGTCAAACCGCGCCGTCGCTAATTGCCGCAAGCGCGACGTCGCTCAAACGATGCTATTTGTAACAGCATACATGAGCAGTTCTCAATGTATGCGCAACGATATGGCACCAAATTTTCTAAGCGGACGGAGAGAGGCTGGTGGAAACAAAGTATAAAAAATTATGAAAAACTTATGTGAACGAAACGAGTAATAAGCATTTTTTCCGAAAATTTTGCAAAATTGGTAAATGAAAATGTTGATTCAAATGGCTCGTTTGCAACGCGCAGATGACGATATGGCATGAAACTTGTTGCATACATGCACACGGGCCTGCAGGGTTTAACTGAGAAGTTTCAATGAAAAACTATGTGACTGAAGGTTGTGGCAAACTTTTTTCTGAAAATTTCCCGCTACCAAAGGAACGGAAAGATGGCTCGTTTGCAACGCAGAGGTAACGAAATCGCGCGGGATTTGGTGTGTATATGCGCAGTATGACTAAGTAACAGAGTATGCAAAATTATGAAAAACTTATGTGAATGAAGAGCGTGCTCAACTTATTTCCAAATTATCCCAGGTTGTCAAAACTTTCAGTTCACATGATTTTCTCAAAATTTTTACATAAATCTACTCTACACCTAAAGGTTAGTATATATTGAGGTGGTTTCAAACCTCCTCCTCTTCTTAGTGCTAGAGCCAAAAATAGCTTCAGCAACCCCGTTTCTTAACACGTTGACGACGAGCCATTTTTGAAGGTCTGTCCCTGTGGACGAAATGTTTCCGGGCATTTTCACAGCCGGCTGCACATATATATGCATGCATCTATGCGTGAGATACACAAATGCAAGTGGGTGGGGCAGCTCCGCCCACTTTTGGCAAGCTCCGCCCACTTCTCAAAGATGCTGGAAATTGCTCAAAATCAATGAATTCGTGCAAATTCCGGCATTTTTAAAAAGTGGGCGGAGCTTGCCACCGAGGGGGTGGAGCCTGCATTACGGGGGGCGGGGTCAAAATTAAGATTATTTGAGGTTTCCCTGTCATCTATGAGCTTTTCTATGCGATTTGAAAACGAAGTTTTTTGTAGAGGGCAATGGAGTGGGCGGAGTTTGCCAAAAAGGGGGCGGGGCCAACCTGAAATACTTTCGAGCCTAACTTGATTATATGAACACAAACTGGAACCATTGTGCACATTAAAACTGATGTTTAGGGTGTCGCGCACCATTGCGCGACACCGTCGTCAACGTGTTAAGGGGGAAAGCGTGCTAATCCATATGCGCGACGGCGTTCATATAGCCGACATGGTGTGATGTTCTCATTTCTCTTGCTTTTTTCTTTCCCTTATAACGCTTTTGTCGTCCATTTTTGATAGTAAACTGCTTCACCATCAATTTTAGGTGTAGTCGTTCGCCATGTGTTGTTCATTGATCATTTGCTTTGTTCACTTGTTCTTGAATTTGCTTATCTATGGTACATTATGTTTTTGGCATCGGTTGTTCTTCACTTGGTGCCTTTCTCAATTCGAAAACTACCTTTAGAGAGGCTTCGGCTTGCACTTTTTGATGTCTAGTTTGCAATCAGCTAGCTGCTGTCTACTCTGGTCTTGTGTCGTTTCCCGATCCCTCTTGTTGTTGATTTCACTTCCCGCGTTTCGCATTTCTCGATTTTTCATCAGCTAAAAGCACACAGTTTTGTCATAGTAGATTTGTGAAAGTTTCAAACTCGGTCGTATCCTAGTCGATAATCTCCTGAATTTGTGGATACGTCTCACATTTCACGAGATATTCCTCATTTAGGATACTAGATTGTGGTGTAAAAGGTAGTTCGCCTCTTCTAAACGCGCCAACTCAGACAATCACAGGCCCTCAGCGGGCCCCACCAAAAGCGTCGTTGCCTTATCGCAGCCACTGTCGCTTCCCGCTGAGAGCTTTGTCGGAGCTTGTCGGAGCGGGCTCGCTGCCCGCTGAGCCCGCTCCGACAAGCTCCGACAAAACTCCGACAAAACTCCGACAAAGCTCTCAGCGGGAAGCGACAGTGAGGCGATGAGGCCACCGCGCTTTTGGTGGGTCTAGGCGGTGGCTTTGTGGCTGCCGGCTGAGAGCATTTGATTGTCTGAGAATGCTGCGGTGCCTTCAGAAGTTTTGGAATGGAAACTAACGACGTGGCATTATGGTTGAAAATGCGGGATTTCGACAATATGCTGACCCTTTTGCAGAGTAAAATGTAAGCAACAGTATTTTTTCTTTGTTTCGAGATCTTCTATTTCATTTCGACAACATTTCTGACTTCCTTTTTTTGATCACAAGACAGATTGCTCCCATGTGGTAGGCTTCGTTGAGAGCGTTATGGCTGATTCCCATGTTCCGAAACTGTTCCCGCACAGTTCCCGCACTGTGCTGGAGCTGTTCCGGAACTGTGCTGCATGCGCTGCAGCCGCCCCGCCCGTTTTAAACGGTGGAAGTTGGAGAATTTTGACCATTCTCAATGGTTTTTCTGCCAGATTTCTCTCATTTTGGCCTTATTTCTCCACCCCGCTTCCCTTTTTAATCAGCAGAACTTTGAAATTGAAGGGGATTGAAGATTGAGCGCTTTTCTGCTCTGTATATGGGATAAAACGTGTGTTCTTGTGCTCGTCCATTCTCTCTTCGCTATGTTTGCTCAAAAGTACTTCATTTGTTCCAGGAAGCGGCTGCGTAGTTTCCATAGCCATCTGTCACGAATTAGGGAGTAGGAGCAATTCTGAAATTGCATGAACTGGGACATGTCTCTTTTTTTGGTGAGTTTCGTTTTTGGGCGTTCTCAATCCCTTTCCTTTTTCCATATCGTTGCCTCATCGTTCTGTCTTCTAACCCGCTTCTCGTGATGACGGAAGGTGGGAAGTTGAAGCGGGGTTGAGGATTGAACACTGTTCTGCTTCATGTATCCGAGAAGATGGGCCTTCGTGCGCTCGTCCATCCAATTTTGTTCAGGCCTACTTCTTGTGTTCTAGAGACCTGTCTATGTCATTTTCAATACAGAAGCGACACTACGCAGCGCCTTTTTAGAACAGATGGAGTAGTTTTGAGCAAAAATAGTGAAGAGAAAATGGACGACTGCCCAAAGCGCATCGTGCTCGCATTTAAACGTGGAAATATTTGGGCCTTCTTCAATCTACCAAAAGTTTTACGTACCATGCGTTTGCGATATGCCATTGGATTTGATGACATTTGACAAATTGCCACATTGCGTGGGAATCTGGCAACTGGCAACAATCGCGTGAGGTATGGCCGAGGCCTAAGGAACCTTCAAACTGCGTCCGTTGCGGCTTTTGCCGCCGGTTGCCATCATGGTAGCCAGTGTCTTCCGTTTTCCTTATGTCAGCAGATGTGGGTAGGACGTGCATGTTTGCATCTGTTCTTAAACCTACTTCCAGTCTCAATCAGCTTTTTCCAGTATAGATATTATACAATGGCCGTTAAATGGTTTTGTTTCTTGAAATTCACATTCGGATTTATGGCGCAACTCTTCTTATGTCAATAAAGCTCCCTGCGATGTCCTCCGTTGTCAATGCAGATGACATGAAAAGGCCTAGTTGAGGAATCTACTTTTAAGAATGTAAGTTTATCTTTTGTTATGTTGATTTACGGTACTTTCTTTATTGCAGTCTCATTTTTCTGTGCTGACCTCTCAACTGGTGTCGGGATCCACAAGATGATTTACCATTATGTGTTGAGCTTTTTTAAATGTTGACCTCATTGTAGACTTTTCTGGATATATTTCTTTGATAAAATGTTCTTTTCATGGTGAACTATTAGCCGCGCAAGCAGAAGAACCAGTTTTTGGTTTAAAGGGGTATTCGTAAAAATTTTTGGGGTCAAAGGGGAATTCGTTTTCAAAAACCCCTTTTGACACCCTCGTGCCGGGCCCTGGTTCTAGCCTTATGTACTAAGCTGTTTACCTTTCACTGACAGTGGCGGCTGGAGGACGGTCCTAAGCCCAAGGAATGATTAGAAAGCACGCTCGCGAGAGAGCTTTTTTGAGCATTACTCCTCTAGCGTCGGTATATATTAGGTTGATTCATAATTAATGCACGTTTTCTATACTTCAACTTTCAATCAAGATAATTCTTTGTTGAAAAGATATTTCTGGGCGCAGTAAAAACTACTGTAACCATCAAATCAGTGGTTATAAAATAGATACTTCTGCGTGACTGTATCTACTACAAGAAAGATTTTCTGGCTTGAAGATTGCCAGCAACTTTTTTCAGAAGCCTCTACTTTGAGAGAGCATAACTCATGTTGAAATAAAGTAGGACAAAGCAGACTTTGCTCATCGTGTAGCCAAGGGTCTTTTGAGCAATAACGCCAAGTTTGGATTTTACGGAAAATTTTTGAAAGAAAATCTCGCGAAAAAGTCGAAAGTACTAATCGGTCGTTTTTTAAATTATTTCATTTTCCTCCGCTGGAAAGTGGGAAAACCCTAGCGCTTTTCTACCATCAAATAAACTAGGTCTACCCTTGCTGGATAGTGCAAAAGACCTGCAGTCGCCTTTTGCTTCAAAGCTTTTTATGGCACGGAAGGGCCGCGACGATCATTCAAGTTCGCAATTGAATTTCTCTGCTCAGAATTCATGGAAAATTTTGTTCAAATAGCATCTTGTAGCACAAAGTTTCCTAATCCCTACGCATATTTTTTATAATTAATCCGCCTATTCCTCATGGATCTAGGGCAAAAGGAGTGAAAAGCAAAAATTTTGGGATTTAGTCTCTTTTATTTGAAGTCTCAGAACTTTGGAATGAACGGAGATGTACGAAAGCGAAGGCCCGCATAAGAAACTAGAAAAAACGCTCGTTTAGAAAGCATAAAAAGTTTTTAAGGAAATTGATTACACATCAGATACCAGCTTGGAAGAAGAGGTAGAAAAAACGTTCATTAATTATGAATCAACCTAATATTGAGTTGTAAAGAAAGTTCCCGGGCACTTTTGAAAATTTCATTTTCTGACGCTTTTTTCTGGCGTTCGGTCGGATTTTGACACCAAGTTTTTAATACTGTTCAGTAGAGGGAAGCCTTAACTTTTTATACCCGCCTCTGATTTTTATTGAGCACATCAAAATGTATTTGATCTGCACATCAATAAAGGAAGTCTTTCCAACCATAAAAATTTCGCAACTTTTCTTCCTGCGGCCATTTTTCTGTGCAGTTTGAGGTAATTCGATTGAGGAACCCGTTAGCTTCCGACCCGCAGCTGCACTCGAATTTTTCGATTTGTGTTCAGAAGTTACATGCCGTCGAACTTTCCTCTGAGTGCAACTCTTCGCAGCCGACGTCGCTTCTGAGAGGTCGGCGCGCCTGGGAGATGGCCCAAAAGATGTGTAAGACATAAACCCAACAATGTTCGCAATAATCAAAGATTTGGTCCGCCCTGTGCAGAACGAGAAGACCTCAAACTGACTTACGCGAAAAATGGTGCATTTTTGGGGGCAGAAAATAGTCGATTTTTTAGATTCTCTGGAAAATTTTTTTACAGGTGGTCCTCAAAGACATGAGTGGTCCTCATAACAGCCCCAGCAGACTTCTATAACAACAGCATCTGGGGTTTCCAGCTGTTATCCTGCATGAGATAATCCTGCACAAATAGGTCACTTTTTGCGTCGAACTTTTTCCCTTCTGCGCACGCATGCTGGTGGACCGCGGTGAGGTGCTGAAAAGCCAGCAAGGCAATACATGTTGCAGACGAAATAAATCCTCTTTGCAATGAAATTTGTAGCTCTGAAAAAGAATCGATCTGCTTGAAGTTACAGAGATTTGAAAAAAATTTTTGCAAGTGCCCGGGAACTTTCTTTACAACCTAATACAATACCGCTCATAATTCGTCAAAAAAGTCGCCGGATGCGGCGGACTCCGCCGGAGTGCGGCAAAGTGCGCCACACTCCACTAGAGTCCGCCGGAATGCGGCAGAGTGCGCCACACTTCACTAGAGTCTGCCGGAGTCCGCGTCGTATCGCCGCATCTCGCTTCAGAATGGACGAATTCTGAGTCCGAGGACACCATTTGATTCAGCTCGGCGAGACGCATCATCTAATATATGGGAGTGCCACAATCTAGCAGGACATGATAGGCTGATGACACATAGAAAGTATACCGGAGGAGTATGGTATAGAGTCACACTGATCGAATTTGTTTTAAAATCTGCTCAAGATTACAATACCGCTCAAAGAATGTGCAAAATCTCAGTGAACTTCGCGGAATTCCGGGATTTAAGCTCAAGTCCGCGACATTCTGGGAATCCCACGACAATTCAGGAATACGCGAAATAACGATTTCACGCAAAGTACGCAGCACCATAACTTCCTTCGGAATAAATATATTCTAAATCAGGAAACAGCATTGCGTTCAGATCGTCAAGGCGAATCTTTTGATGTACTGATGCCCTCGATATTCCGTTTCCAGTTTTCTCGAATTTTTCTGTGGAGGTCCCTTCGCAAGAATATAACGCAGCGTCTGTGTATATACAGTAAGCAATATTCGATAACATTGTTTTTGTAGGTTATCGTGCGCTAAGTAGTAGCCGCAGACTTCTTTCCAAAAAAGGTAGGAGCGCCGGTGAATTCTAAAAATCACACGTTTTTAGATTCTAGTCGCCATAACTTCCTTCGGAATAAGTATATTTTGAATCCGAAAACAGCATTATGTTCAGCTCAGCAAGTCGAATCTTTTGGTTTACAGCATGTCCTTGATATCTCGATTTCAGTATTCTTGGATCTTTCTGCGAACGTCTCTGCGAAGGTGTAAAGCAGCGAGCATTGTCCTAAATTCTGGCAAGGACCTTTCGATAGTACTTGTTTTGTAAATTATGATGCACTAAACAGTAGCCGCAGATTTCTTTTCAAAGGAAATAGAAGGGCTGGTATTGTGGAAAAATCTTGTCGTCCCAAATTCTACTCGCCATAGCCCTAGATTACGAAGCTCTTTTGCTAAGCAGATGTGATTATCGTAATCAGCAGGTCGGATAACCTCCATGAGCAAGTTTTCCGAGATTTTCGGGTTATTTCATTTTTTTCCCGTTTTAGGCTCTTGGAAGCTCGCCGATGGATTTTGGTCAAGATGTTGATACTTCTGAATTGTAAGAAAACTTCGCCTATAGAGGTTTTCGAACACGCCCTTTACGAAAATCGTGGTATCTGAGGATTACAAGGTCTTTTTGGAGAGATACGATGAAGTAGCTGTAACTAAATCACGAAAGCTCGTAAATTCGCCTCCACCTCTCGCGTACATGTCAGAAAACCTGCTTGACTGCTGATAAAGGTTAAAGTAACTAGTAAGTGTGCCATCGAACGGTGCATGTCTCAAGCTCCTGTCTATAGAAATCGCCGAGTTACGAGCCTACGAAAACACGTCCTCATGCATTTTGTCCACAATATAAAGATCGCATACTTCGTCGAAATTCCACCGTGATGCTTGTATGACACTTGCATTGCGAATATTATGTTCGCTTCGCTTAATAGCAAGAGTTCAATGACTCCCACTGTACTGAATATGAGTACTCTGCGTTGATACCACTGCT